AGGATGATTTGAAGGAAGAGTTTTTTGCCAAATTTCAAGTGCTTTTTCGAAATAACGAATAGCCTCATCATATTCACCTTGATTCATATGGACACCTCCAAGCTGATTATAATAAAGCGCTTTTTTACCCTCATCAGATGTCTGGTCGAGTAATACATTATAAAGTTCTTCAGCTTTATTAAATTGACCAACTGTAATCAATAAGTCACCCAATCTTTGCCATCCAGTACCACCAGTTTCTTTTCGTATACGATCAGTAAGTGATCGTAGTTGTTGATCATCATCTGATGTTAATTCTAATTCAACTTGATAAAGTTGATTCTTATTGTCCATTTGTTTAATTGCACTCACTCGAAACACGGTGTGCATTGAAAAGAGAATTTCTTCTTCTTCCTTAAAATAACTCTCCTCTTTGATGGAGGTAAATGGTGTTGATTTAATACAAGGGTCAATGGTCATTATAAACAGAATGCCCATCTTATCCAATTCTGTTGAAGCACGTCGAGCAAATTCGAGTGACACTTCTTTATCTCTACTGGTGGACAAGAAATTGTTAAATGACATAAGTCCACCTTTTGTTTTCTGAAGCTTTGCAAAGTCTGATTTCATAAGACCTTGTCCTCGATAAACTATAAAAGGTTTTCGTCCATAACTACTGACCTGTTGTTCATGCAACTGTTGAATTTGTTTATGAACATCACGTAGAAAAAAGCCCATATTAATGATTATATCGGCATTCAACATTCGAAGTGCTTGATTGAGCATTTTGTAGGTAAAACACTCACGTGTATACCACCATATTGCTTTCTGTGGATGATAGTCATGTTCGAATTCATCAATTACCTGCAATTCAACTGGATTACCAGCAAAAACTTCACAACAACAGACTGCTAAGTCATGGACTGCCTTGGGGCCGTATTTGATATCAAGGAGGATTTCCTTGAATAGTTGTGTGTACATAAAAGTTGGCTCCAGCTGATTTAAATTATTAGTTGAAGCCATTTCATTTACCGAAAGAAAACTTATGGCAATTGTGTCTTGGTCGCATTGTTTAACTGCCAATTGTAATGCTTGGCATATTTCTTTGATATTTGTATGGACACCTTTGACTTTTGTCCAATTTTGAGTCCAACCCTCATGTCTGGATTTGTTGCCACAAAAGATGTAAATGGCATCTAGCTGTGGTATGCCATGAATTTCAGGAACCAAATGTTGACCTAATGAGCCTGATGTTATGACAAAGACTTGTTCCTTGTCAACCCTGTTGAGTACTTGGATGCACTGATCCGGTTCAGTGCATAACTTGACATCATTGACCACATTCTTCAACTGAGTGAGTGTGTCTTGGCAATCCTTTTTTCGTTCGTCGATGCTGGCATCTACCCAGATGAGAAGGTAATTTTGTGTTATACGTTGTCGGGGTTGACGAACATACGATGCTGTTGCTCCATGAGACGATTTTGCGCTGGATTTTGAAGGTTTTGGATCCATGATACGTATGTATTAATAATCGGACGACAAATGAAGGTAGTTGAAGAACTGAAGAATTGATGGTTAAGCAAAGAAACGAATACTGCTATTATATGGGAATCAGATCTCTTTATCACAATGTTTTTATGATATCATTAGCTATTTTTTTTTATGTTTATTACCTATATTATCTGTAATAAAATCATGTCCTGTGTATCATTCAGTTTATATCGTACAACCAGGTGAGTAGGAAGAAGAAAAAAGAATTTATTTTTTCCAACTTTCTTCACAAATAGGAGAGAATATCGTTAATATAAAAGACACATATTTACTCTGCGAATAATGTACGTCAACAGGCTCATTGTATTTTCTCCTGTTTCTTGAATAGTATATTGAAATTACACAAGGAGAAAAACCAAATGATCGTGTGTTCTTTTCTGTGAACGATCAATAAAGTCTGCTCAATCTTCTACATATATTTACATTAAGAAGAGTAAATAAAAATTAATATTAAACTCATTGTTCGATAAATGAACAATATATTCAATATTAAAATTATAATATTAATATTAACTAGTAGAAGTATCCGCCGTTGCCAGGAATATTCTTGGGATGAATGCCTGTAAGATATATCATTGATATCAACATTGGTAAAACCACTGGTTTTTATCTTGTTTCGTTGTCAAATGAATGAAAAAAATAATCGCACGCTCTAAATTGTTGGATAGAGCACCTATTGTAGCACTCCAACAATAAGGCTACTAAGCAGAAACCTAAGCAGGTCTGCCTGCTGTGACCTGTGTAATTTGGACGCTGTGAGTACGTATAGGTATTATTCCCATCTCAAACGTACACCCACATCCCAAAGAACTTGATTTTTCTCTTAACAGATTTGTCGTCATAAGTACTATTATAATTATGCAAGTCATAGTTTTTCTTATTTTATTCTCAAGGATCTTTTGAAATGAAGAGATAATGTCGATATTGATTAAAATTAGTCATCTATAAGTGATTGTGGCCATATACATTGATTAGCAGATGAAAATAATACAAACAATACAATTTCCAATTAATCGACAGATTAATAAAGAGTAATATTAACATATACTTACTTATAATTATATGAGATAATTATTCACCATTAACAATCGATTTGATGAGAATGAATCAGAAATATCTATCGTGATGATTTTCAAGAATCCTTTTCAATTTTATAATTATTTCTGATCGATAAGGTTTCATTCATTTCAGAACACAGAACTTGTGGATTGTTAAATTTTATCAGTATTTACAGTGATGATACTCTAACAGAGACCTTTGAAAAAAAGAATAGCATTTTCACAAACTATTCTTCTTTAATCACTGGAATATTATCATTTACCAACTGAGTTTTTACAGTTATCTAACAGTATATATTGCAATATTTCCCCGAAAGAATAAAAGCGAAATATACATCCAAGTATCATAAATCTTATATACAATAACAAATATCGTGTCTCTCCGCGAAAAAGAAACGATGTTAAAACAACGTCGTTTGTTGTTAGTCAAATATACACTTTTTCTTTTTCATTCTTTTATTTGATATTGATAAAAGTATATTTATTTTGAATTTCCAACATCTACAAGTATATCCATATAATGCATATTCAATAATCTTATGTCTGTTCTATATGAGGCAATCACATACAGAACTAATTATTACACGATCTATCAACTCAAGCAACTTTTCAATACTATATTAACTTTCATAGATTATTTCGATCATACATACATACATACACTATCAATGACAATCCTAATTTCGATATCAACAATTGTAAACGAGAGAAAATCTGTTAGATGAGCATTGAGACTTTGTTTTGAACAACCCAGTGCGTATCTAATATTTTAACCAGCTGAATTAAATTAACTACAAATATCCAAAATAGCAGCTTGTAGTTGAGTGAATTTCGAGTCACAATTCAGCATTATTTAGTATAATATATAGTTTACTAATGTTATCTGGAACTCTTCAATATCCTTTAAAATTCTTATCATGAATCTTTCAACAGAAGAGAACAAATCAGTACATGCAAGGTTTACATCTCATTATTAAAATCCAAATTGAAATACTGAGATAGATGAGATATCGAAAATGAAAATCAGTCATTATCGGATCATTTTCTTTAAGTAAAGTCTGAATTAAAAAAATTAAGCAAGATACAGAGTAATTTTTATCTCTACCACATCATATTGAATTATTCAAACGTTTAAAAATTTTTGATAAAGCACGTCGAGTTTTGAACATTTTACTCGAATATGTTTATAAATGTGTGTTGAAAGTGAATTTATGTAAAATACAACTATATTATTGCTTACTTGTATTGCTTTTTCTAAAGATTATTACTATTTAATACTGCAACGAAGATGAACAAAAAAGAATGGCAGACTC